CAGGCACATCTGCAGCCGACAAGAGGACACCGAGGAGCAGGGACGCTGCACTGGAGAAGAAGCTCGTAAAATAGGGAATGTCCATTCCCCTCCAAGGCATGGTGCAGCCGTCCACACCTGGGATCCAGCTCTTAAGGCTCATTTTCTGGCCATGTTGGTGGTGTTTGGTTTGATCCAGGGATGGCAGTGTCTGCTTCCTCTCTAGGAATAGTGACCCTAGGCTGTTACTGTGTAGTCTGAGGGTGTCATGGGCAGCTCTGGAATGCCACAGCACCCAGAGACAGACCCCCAGGGACACTCTGCCATTGGCCTCTGTCGGGGTCTGTCCCCTCAGCACCTCCAGCCAAGGGCCTGACACACAACAGGTGCTCAGGTGAGCAGGTGGCCATGGGTGCCAAGTTCTTATCCTTCACCAAACACGGAGGGCTAAAAATGGCCGTTTCCGGAATTCAACAATACAGTTTGTAAACTGCCATTCCAATGAACTGCATTCAGATTAAACAAGGACCCTGTGTTGTTATTTACCTCCTAAAAGAGACAGTTTGAGATTTCTCAAAGATTTGTGACACAAACCAATCTTGATTACGTCTGAAAAATCCTGTTTCCAAATGAGGTCACATCCACAGGTGCCAGGGGTTGGCACTTTCTGCATGTCACCTGTGAATAGAGACCAAGGCAAGGAAAAAGCACTGTGAAACTTCTCCCCGACTGGAAACGGAGCCTGACTTCACTGGGATTCCTACTGATATTCTGAATTCACTTTCCGCCGTGCATTCTGAGGTTGACTGGGCAGGCAGCCGAAAGCCGGAAACAGGTGGAGGCCACGCAGCTTTCCTCCTAGATTGGGCCGTTAGGTACCGATTCCCAGGAACACAGGGTAATGTGATCAGATCCGCGAACAGCTTGGAATATTGGCACCCAGTTGGGCTGCCTGTTTGTTTGATTTAGTAAATTCCCCTCTCTGCTTTTAAACACAGTGACCTAAAAAGAAATATTATTCCCCAGAGCGCCTTTGGGATTGTTTGTTTAAATTACGTTTCGTTTGGATTTAATCTTAACCAAATCTTCAGAGAGCCGCGAAGGCGCCCGTAATGAACTGTGGACGCAAGAGCCAATGAGTGCAACTTCCAGATCGCGCGGCTCCCCCCCAGTCCATGGGCTCCGTAATGACACCCTTGGGCGGCAGAAGCCAAGTGCTGAATGACTAGTTTATGGTCGAGAGCATTGTATTTTTATTACACTCATAAAATCTGTGTTTTTCCTCATTTTCATAATGGCTTCCATGAGCTTCTCTACCTTCTGAAGGCACATTAAATTGTCTGTGATGGAAGCACTGATTTGGCGGAGCAGGTTAGAAAGCCTGAAAAAGCTTTGCGTGAGAAACACGCGTTGAATTCTCATCTTGTGTTGGATGGGCGCGAAGGAAAAAGGCAGTGTGTGAGTTTGAGCATAATTCGTATTTATTCGTGAGCTTTTCGTAAATGTTCCAGTTGGTTCCCTTAGCTTCGGACTTACATGATACACATGACCTGCCCTAGAGGTATTGAGTCGTTCAGCCCCATGAGAACATAAATAATATTAAAACTGGAAAGTGTCACACATGTGTCTGATTTTTAAAATGTAAAGGGGAAGTTCAGTAATACGCACTGTGATGACAGCATTTTATGTTTGAGATAGGTGTGTTGATTCTTTTTTCGAAGGTAGGGACCGTGGCTTTCTCTTTATTTACTGGGCACTTTGTAGATGCCACACAGGTCTGAAAGTTACACTATTAAATAATTATTTAAAAACTGACCAGGACGAAGGTCCTCCAACATCACCAAAACCCAGAAAACGAGGGTCCTAAGCTCCTTCGAGGGCCAAATCCAGGCTCGGGCCCTTGGGCTAACCCGCAGGTGCCTCTGACTGCATCACACTCTGAGTAAGGTAACCAGCAAGGGGCTGGAGGGAATGGCCAGCCGAGTCCAGACATGGACAGAAGTAACTGGAAGGAGGATGGGAAACGGACAGGTACTGTCCAGCTGTAGATAAGGGATTGCAGCTAAGGCAGGGTCGAGGGGCAGGGGAGAGGCTGGGGGAGCGGAATTGCAGCAATGCAGGAGTGCGGCCCCAGGGTCCTGTCCTGAGCGGCTGGTCAGGGTAGCAGCTGTCAGTTCCCAGTTGGAGCTCCTGACCCAATCCCAGGAGAGGGCTCACACGTTGTGGGTCCTCTTGGTGAGCTGGGGCTACTCATCCACCAGCCTGGACTTGAGGTGCTCCTTGTGAGCCAGGACGTCTCCAGGCCCCTTGTTCACTTCTCACAGACCAAACTTCCCGTGCAGCCTACTGAATGAGTGTGAAGTCGTGGCTGACCAGCATCATACCACCCTCAAACTCACTGATGGCATCTGCCAGGGCGTCCATGGTCTCAACATCCAGGTGATTGGTGGGCTCATCCCGGAACAGCATGTGGGGTCCTGCCAGGCCAGCCAGGCCAGACACACTTGGCACTTCTGCCCATCTGATGAGTTTGGATCGGGCTCACCTGCTGCTTCCCAGTGAGACCGCATCGCCCAGTGATCCTCCTCATTTCTTCTCCTCATCTCCGGGTCGGGCTTCATCATGTACTGCACAGGCGAGAGCCTGAGCCCAGCTGCTCCCGTGAATGCCGACGGTCACGCCCTATCTCGACATGCAAGTGTTTTCGGAACCTGCAATCCATGGGTGGTAGGTTCCGAAACCTCACTTCCCTGCCCTTTTGTCCCTTCCAGGGCCACTCATGTGTCAGGGTCAGTTCCAAATTCTACATGATTGGAGGGGCAAGGCCTGTCTTGTGTATACCCAAAGCTCACATTTGCACCGTAATGACAGGTGGCGGGATCTTGCCCCATGGTGGGAAATAAAATGACAGTGTCTTGTCGCCCACAAGAGGCCGTCGTTTGCTGTAGCGTCTTTTCCTTGCCCTGGGCCTGCCAGGCCAGCTTGGCACTGCCGTGACCAGACCTCTCAATGCAGTCTGAGCTCGCCCAGCGAAGCCTATTCACCTGGCTCCCCTCCAGCTCTCACCGCGTCTTCACATATGGATCACAGTTACCTGTACCTGCATAATATTTCAGTCTCTCGTCGTGCAGACACATCCAGAAAGTTCTGGGAATGGGAGACCAGGGCCAAGATGCGCTGAAAAGTTTTTAGTTCTTCTTCCAACCGCATGCAAGCGTCTAGGTCCAGGTGGCTGCTGAGCTCATCTGGAGCAGCATGAAGGGCCGGATGAGGAAGGCTCTGGCAGGGGCAACCCTCATCCTCCAGCCCCCACTGAAGCCTTGTAGCTTCTTACACCGCATGGCAGATGAGACACCCGGTCTGTGCAAGATCCGCGAGGCCTCATCTCTGCCTTGTCGGCATCCAGCTCCTCCAGGCGTTCGTGGAGCTTCATGAGCTTCCACACTCTGCGTCCTCATGAGCCAGCCACTCCGCCTCCCTCTCCAGCGTGGCCCTCTCCGTGTCAGCGTCCACCACACACTGCAGGGGTGTCTTGTCACCAGGGGGCATCTCTCGAGTCAGACGGTAGATGTCACTGTGCTCAGGGGTGGGCACTTCAGGTTTCCCAGTCGCAGAGGGCAGCACGGACTCCAATTCCGTTTAAGCCCATGAGGCCGTAAAGACGGCCTGAGTTTAATTCCAGTTTGGTGTCGCCGAGCAGCTGTCGACCGTGGAAGGTGAGTGAGAGGCTGATGATATGATCGTCAGTACTGTTGGGGTGAGAGGCCAGGACGCCAGTGAGGCTGGAGCAGCAGCTTTCTTCCTCTCAAAGTCCTCGAGCTCCTTGGTCCCCAAATCCACTTCCGTGGTCTCTCTGCCACTGGCCTCGTTTTTCTCGTCTGCTGCCTGTGGTTCTGTGACAGCAGCACCATTTTCTTCACGTCCTTTTCTGGGCCACTGTCCAGCTTGGGCTGCCTCCTTCTGACCTGGGCAGAGGACATGATGATGACCCACAGCAGGAGGTCCCTGTTCTTTCACGGAGCTGAGCCTCCCACTCGGCCTCTGTCACAACAGAGCTGCTCCTGGCTTCCTCCAAAAACAAGATCTTAATCGGATTTTTATATCTGTTTTTTAAAAGAAATAGAAACTCTCTTGGACACCAAATTTATATCTAAATGCCGTTGCTTGTAAACATTTCTGCCAAGTTAACGTGATCCATTGCAGGAAAAAGCAGATCCCTCTTCACTCTATAATTAATATGCTAATAAAAATCTACAAACGCCACATCAGTGTGCCCCACAGGATTAATGGTGTTGGGTAATTAGGCTGTAAATGTTAATATGGAGGTTTACAGCCACAAGTAGCCAGTTCTGTTTGCAAAGGAACGAAGTTGGAGGACTTTGTGTCTCTCTGATTTCTGTGTTTAAATGTGCTGTGTGTGTTTACTGTATTTCAGTGTGGCTGATAAGAATTAGTTAATCAATTTGGGATCCTCTTTAATGCGAATAGTGTTGTGATATTTCTCTGTAACCAGGCAAATTCCAGCAGGGCAGTGTTACTTTCTGTGACGTACTTTGAAAAAAAGCCTTTCAGAGGCCGCTTCTGACAGGACAGCAGTTTCACGAAGCAACACACTTCTCTAGGGGTGCAGAATGATGCCAGCCACAGCAAGTGAGGGTGCCCGCCAGGGTCTGCTCACGCCACCTCGGGAAGTACCCGCCTGTTGGCTGTGATGTGTTTGTTGCAGAAAGTTTCCTTTACAGATCAAAAGCTGGAAAGCCACATGGCTGAACCTAGAACAGAAGCAGCTCTAATCGGTGTGGGATAAATTCACTAGGTTTTTAATATTTCATGGAACATGCAAGCTATGAGCCAGTGCACTGAGATGCTCAGGCAGCCACGGAGTGGACGTGTCTGACCAAAATGGAATCAATGTCCTGTGGATGGAATACATGTGGGTCGTGCCTCTGAGTGCAGTAACGACATATGTCAGGCGGTGATGAGACGGTCACACCGCAGCCACGGGCCTTCTCTGTCCGCAGATGGTGTGGGAGAGCGGCTGCGTGGTGATCGTCATGCTGACGCCCCTCTCGGAGAACGGCGTCCGGCAGTGCTACCACTACTGGCCGGATGAAGGCTCCAACCTCTACCACATCTACGAGGTACTCACACCAGAGCCACCCGGGCCGGGACCTGCCCGCTGGGTGGGCAGCACTGGGGCCCGCTCCTCCTCCAAGTGGGATCTTAGGGCCCCATGCAGGGAGGGTCCACACCCCCCACGTTGAAGGGATCGAGGCTGAGCCACCCCCAAGGGCCACGCTGCCCGTATGGATGCTTCACACGTCTGTGTGGCCATGAAGCAGACCCTGGTAATGTGGCGTGGTTTTCACTTTTTAGGTTTTCTGAATCCAAGAAATAGAAAAAACACCCGCCTGAGAGCATGTTCCCATCCCATATAATAGGCCTTTAAGTGGGGTCTGTTTTTAAAAGGACCCTGCCTGCTACCATCCTAATTGATTATTGATGCCAGCACCTGAGCCTGTGGCCTTCCCGTGGCTCTACGTGGAGTTTTGTGGCTGGATCATGTGACCTTTTTATTTGAGGATAACCTGCTGACAAGTTTATTCTGTTGCTGGATTTTCTGCCCATGTCAAGAATGAACTAAATAAACTCAGGCAGTTAAGCAAGCTCTAGAATGCATGCTGGGTATCCGTTTTGCATTAAAATGAGTGAGAATGCCAAGCCCCCAGCAGGAAGCGTGTTGGAGGCTTAAATGTGAACCCAAAGCCACGCAGCCGTGGCTGTGGGGTTCCTGGGTGCTGCCTGAGCGCAGGCTCACATCCTGCTGCACCTCCATGAGCCCCTCACCCTGCTCTGCCTCCAGGTGCATCATCGATGACGGAGTCTCACTTAGAGTGGAGCTATTTAGCAGAACACGTAGCTGTGTTGGTGGTTTTGTTTCAAAGTGAAATTTTTCTCCAGTTACTTTTCTTGAGGGTTTATATCACATAGACATGCAAAACACAAAAAGTAGGATAGTTTTGGATTGTCACTTTTTAGAAAATCATTTGATGATCAAGCCCCTAAATAACATTAAGCAACACACACTGCACGGAGCTGACTTTAGTGTAAGTCTCCACATCGGGAAGGTGGGAGGGGCCGTTGAGCCCAGGGAACCTGCCTGTGCTGTAAAATGTGGCCTCTTCAGAGCACCCCCACTCTCGTCAGATGTCGCTCTGGGCTCCTCAGTCCCTGCGGTTTGGTTCATGGTGTCCACGCCTGTCTGTGTCCCTCGCTCCTCTCCCGCCTCAGGTGAACCTGGTCTCCGAGCACATCTGGTGCGAGGACTTCCTGGTGAGGAGCTTCTACCTGAAGAACCTGGGAACCGGCGAGACACGCACCGTGACCCAGTTCCACTTCCTGAGTTGGTATGACCGGGGAGTCCCTTCCTCCGCACGGTCCCTCCTGGACTTCCGCAGGTACGACGTGTAGCCGGCCGGCGGGGCAGTGTGCGCTGAGTGCGTGCGTGCGGGGACGGAGCGATGCCAGGTTCCCCTGCTTCCGTGTCAGCACCACGGAGGGAAGGGAGCGAGGGGAAGGAAGGTTCTGTTAACTGCACATTAGTTGTGAGCAATTTCCCAGTTTCAGAGCCAATTAAGTGTGAGGGGGAAGAGGCGTCTTAGAATTGTGGAAATATGGTCATTATCTTTGATAAGATTCTTCAACTCACAAAGAGCCCTAAAGCGTGTGTGTCACAAGATACTGGTGACCGAAGCTCGGATTTTGTTTGGCTTCTCATCTGGCTGCATGGGATGGATGCTTTAGCGAGCGCGGGCTCAGACGCCATGCTGGACCATCTTGGAGGAAAGCCTGGACACAGGTCGGCTCTCTGTGCTTTTAGGGCTGTTTTGAAACTGACCATTTTCTTTAAATCCAGTTTTTTGTTCATTGCCCCAGTCAGCCAGTCACCCAGTAAGCTGTCAGGTTTTAGAGCATATTTATTGAACTGTTGAAATGAATGCTAGACTCTGTCTTACAGGAAGAAATTGACAATGAGAAGCAGCAGTTAAGACACAGCTTTGATCGTGGCAAACAGTTGGGCCACACGGGCTAGGCAGCGGTGCTGCGTGAACAGACACCACAAAGAAAATGAAATTGTCAACAGCACCCGTGGCCGAGCTCTAAATTTTGTAGAATAGATCTTACATTTGACTGATCAGAAGTCTGCCTGTTGAGGAAAATAGATAAGTATCGAAATGAGAGTAAGAACAGAACGCGTTTAATCCGGCGCCGTGCCACTGTCGAAAAGCGACTTGATCCTGAACAAGACTCATTCTGAGTCTGCAGTTACATAACTGGAGGGAGGGTGACGGGACAGGACTGTTGCAAAGAAGGGGTTTGGAGTTCTCTGTGGAATTCTTCAATTTGTGTTTTGCAGATTCTGAAGCTTATTCTTATTATGATAATATTTCTTTTGCCTTTTAGTCTTATGTTGAAAAGCAAAATACGGTTTTTTGCAATTTGAATCAATGGCATGTGAAAGAGTCTCTCCAAGGAGACATAGGGATCTGGTGTCACAGCCATAGCACATTCAGTGACCCCGCCCATGTCACCCCTCACCCTGGGGATCTGGTGTCACAGCCATAGCACATTCAGTGACCCCGCCCACGTCCCCCACCCTGGGGATCTGGTGTCACAGCCATAGCACATTCAGTGACCCCGCCCATGTCCCCCACCCTGGGGATCTGATGTCACAGCCATAGCACATTCAGTGACCCCACCCATGTCACCTCTCACCCTGGGGATCTGGTGTCACAGCCATAGCACATTCCGTGACCCCGCCCACATCACCCCCCACCCTGGGACACAGACCCCAAAACAGCTACTGTACACAATTCCCTCCTCGCCCACCCCAATATCCTGGCCATTACGCACATTTTCTCAATACAGATTTGCTTCTAAAGACATACTATGCAGAAATCTGACATAATTTCCTGAAATAGAGTCTTCAAAACACAGTCATTCCTGGCAAAATGGATGTAACCACAAAGACGGCAATTCCTCTTCGCACCCCGTCTCTGTGTTCAGCCAGTGTGTTTGCACATATATGCACATAGGCAGTCACTATGTCCATATCCATATATGGACCGGAGCATATGCATCACCAACCCTCTGTGCTGACGATTTATCACAAAGAAAACTTGGATTCCCAGCTTTCCCTTGCTCCAGGGTCTGAGGAGATACAGCCTAAGGTTTTTGTTAAATTCAAAAGCTAATGAGCCCAGTCACGGTTTGGAAAGCCACGTCAGAGAAGGAAGCTTTCATTGCCTGCCTCACTGGGCGCTGTCCAGCATTTCAGCCAAGGCCGCCTTCCCTGTGTTACCTAGACAGTGGGTTTGGTCGATCGCATTTTCAGAAAGCTTCACACTTAGACGTGCATTTCGGGTGGCCCATTTTCTCTGTAAATAGCCACCCCAATTTCAGTGACCGGGAAGGTGAGGCCACTTCTGAAGACACCAGCCATCTTCACGCTCCAGGGTTTCTTATCTTTGAACAATAGACGAGGCAGTCTCACTCTGGCCTGGCGCGTTCGCCAGGCACCAAGATGTGTGATTAAATATTTCTGGAGCCCAGAGGGAACACATTTACACTTTAAAGAGAAACTGCCAAGAGATAATTAGCATCACATGTGAGGGCTTTGCTTTAAAAACTTCTCTCTCTCTCTCTCTCTCTCTCTCTCTGTCTGTATTACCCTCTCCTTTCTCGTGCCACGGCACGCACTAACGCTGCTCACGGTAAAATGGACACACCCTTACCTTGCCAGCTAATTAGCGGTGGCCAGTGTCATTTTTGTGATGTTGCAGCTAGTAATATGAGCCCAGTTGCATAGTCACAAAAGTGATCATTGGAAACTGTGACTGCACTGCGGGGCACTGTGGGAAGCCCCTTTTCTGAGCCTCTAACGACCTCTGACCTTGCTTGCCGTGGTTTGCATGACGGCGCGCTCTCACCCGGTGGCCGGGCTTGGTTTGTATCACTAATCGTTCTTTCCCAGTGAATTCCTGAAGTGTCTATAGCATCAACTCTTCTTACCGTTGGGGACCTTTTGCTCACGGGCGCTCTGTTCTGATGGAGTCCGACGGGGCGCTGCGTCACAATCCTGAATAACCCGTGCTCTACATCTTAGGTCAACCGGATGGGCTCTTGTGTTCAGTATGTTGTGGTTTTGCCTCTGTATTTGTGGTGCTTTGCCTGTAATAATACAAGTGCACAGTCCTCTGTAAATGAAGCCCTAACCCCTGCCACACGCTGCATCCACACTGCACGTGTCCTTGACTGCCTATGGTTTTCGTAAATAGATCTAGCCCAAGGCAGAGGCTGCTATGGACATGAAACTCCAGTGAAACCTTCCCAGGGCCTGCCGAGGCCACCAGCCACACAGAGTCTGAGAAAACGATATCTGACACACACCGTGAGATAGAAACAGGAGTTTCAGGAGTGGGGAAGCAGATCGAGGCCACCGTAGCCACGAACTCACTCTCTAGGAGCATTTCTTGGCCAGAGGGCTTATGACTGCATTTTGCCAGAGCAGGAGCTGACCAGCTGTCCATGAGCCACCACCATGTACTGACCTTTGGCACTCCGTTTCCTCAGCCTGGCACACTGTTTACCGGGTACCCGGCTGTGTGGGTTTGGGGTTTGCTGCTTTTACTGTGCTGTTTTTTGTGTGCTTGGTCACATGAGGAAAAATGAGCAACCCCTGGCGACTGACGTGTGTGGACTTGCAGAAGCTGAGTTCAGTCTTTACGTAGAGTGCACCCCGAAGCGTGGAACACAGTGGGAAGTTGGAGGAGCAGAATGGAGGTCGTCCACATTTGCAACATTCAGAGGCTGAGCCATGTCCAGCAAACTCCTCGACCCAAGGCAAAAGGTCTTTCAAAGCAGAACCACTCACCATTTGTTCTGACAGTGGAGGCTGCTTGATCCTAGACATGAGCACATCCACGCTCACGTTACGCACGTGCACCAGGCTCCACTGTCACACGCACATGCGGCCTCATGCACACACACGGTCCTGACCGAGCCGGAGGGCCTCCCACCCTCACGCTGGGGTGCACCCCTGCGGCCTGGCATCCATTCATCAGGGGCCCTTGATGCTTGAGTCAGGAATGGGATATTGTAGAGGTAGACATAAGTGGGTCTGTTTTCCAACCTGTTTATTCTCCAAGGACCAAGAATGTTCATGGCATTCTGGCGTACGTGCCGTCGCCTTTAAAAGGTTCACTGTGCTGTCCCCAACCTGTCTCCAAAGCCTTCACACCACCTGTGCCCCAGAAGCAATAAATGCCTCTAACAGACCCCGTGACACGGCCCAGGGGGCCCTTGCTGGTTTGCCCGCGTCTGAGCCCACCCCATCCTCCAGCATGTGGCTCGTGTTTCACAGATACAGGCCAGCACACATCAGGTGCTGCCTGGCTGGGCTGTGGCGGCCCATCTGCAGGTCGAGGGTCTGCCGCTGTTCCTCCAGTTCCTGCCGTCCCCTCCAGACTGCGGGTTCACACTCCCTCAGAAGGGCCTCGTTCTGATAACTCCTGAATAGGAAGAGGAGGGGAAAGCTCCATGGTTTGGGCTCTGCCATGTTCCAGCATCCCTCAGCTCATGGGTCACTGGACACTCCTACACCTCCCTCCACAGCCACCTGCCCCTCTCCTCTTCAGAGGTTTGTGGCAAAGCCACCAGTTGATGGAATGTCCCCTTTCCACTGACTGTGTGGTGCTGAATAGGGAAGCCTTTGCAAGCAAACGCCACTTTCCCGTTTATGAGCCACACTTCATTTTGTTTTCATTTGCTTCTTTTTGGGGTTCATGCAGCCCATCCCTCCCCCCCACATTCTTTTTTCCAATAAGCAGATTCTGTTAATTAATTTTACTTATTCAGAAATATCTCTCTGACAACTCTCATGGACTTCATAAACATATTTCATTGTTTCACTGAATTTAAAAAAAAAAAAACCTGGAGTTTACAGAGTGAATTTTAAATCAGCCCTCTGTTTTGATTTAGGGGTTGATTATGAAATCTTACATGTATGATCATAGCTAATTTTCACAACTTCTGATCTGAAATCTGCACAGTGAAATTGTTTGTATAATCAAAGGTATAAACACGGAAAGGACTTGTGTTGGACGTCATAGAGGTTTCTCCGTAATTTAGATATTCTTACTAACGCTGAAGGTCAAGAACGACCTTGAAGATGCTGTTTTTACACAGTACAGAAATAACGGTTTCCAATATGATGTCTAGACTGTGAGAAATTTTGAGCATAAACCACAAAAGTCAAAAATTTTAGCAAAGAATCGAGATATATTGCAACGGAAGGTCAGGTTGACGTAAGCAGATATGGAAAGAGGAGAGCCTGCAGGGATGGGTCAGGCAGGGCAGGGCAGGCCGGGAGTCCATGGGTTCAAAGCCTGGCATCCCTCCTTGGAAGGAGAAAGCAGAGTACATGTGTAAGCCTTGGTTTTAAAGCTCCAATTAATAACGTCATGTTGAGAAGAAATGTTTGATATTTTGTGTATAATTTTTATTTCTCTGTCAAAACAAGTGGTTGCAAAATGATTTCAGAGACACCAACGTTGTGCTTTGTTTGAATGGTTGTTTTGGATAACGCAGTCTTGGTTCACAACTATAATCTTTATATCTCTTTTTATTTCAGAAAAGTAAACAAGTGCTACAGGGGCCGCTCTTGTCCAGTAATTGTTCACTGCAGGCAAGTACAACTTTTACTGGATTAAGAAGTCTTTGCTACTTCAGAAAATAATGTATGCCATTGAATGCAGAAGCTCAACTTTCTAATTGCTTAATCAATATAACTAGCTGGCGCTTCTAAAAGAAAACAAAAATATGAACTTGCTTTTCTATGACATTTGGGTAAATACAGTCGGGAATTGCGTGTATTATGCCTGTATAAACTGCATGGGACTTTTTACTTTTTATTTTTATTTTTGGAGACAGAGTCTTGCTCTGCCACCCAGGCTAGAGTGCAGTGGTGCAATCCTGGCTCACTGCAACTTCCACCTCCCGGGTTCAAGCGATTCTCCTGCCTCAGCCTCCGGAGTACTGGAACTACAGCACACACCACCACACCCTGCTAACTTTTTCGTATTTTTAGTAGAGACAGGGTTTCACTGTGCTAGCCAGGATGATCTCCAACTCCAGGCCTCAAATGATCCGCCCACCTCAGCCTCCCAAGGTGCTGGGATTACAGGCGTGAGCCACCACGCCCAACCTCACATGGTCTACTTCCTAGCCGCCCACGGCACAGGGTCCTGCCTGCTGTTCACCCATGTGCATGCCCTGCCACCTTCCTTCTTCTTACACCCTACGGCGCCATTAAACAAAAGCATCAAGACAGTGTTTTCAGCCTATTGCATTGTCTCAGCCACCAGGACGTTCAGCACAGGCTCGGACCCCTCTGCAGATGGTGAGAAATGCTTGGGGCCAGTTATGAACAGGGAGGCAATCTGTCATTACAAGAGGGACAGCCTCCAGCTTATCATGTGGCTTCATGCCTCTGGGTAGAACTTCAGTGACTCATATCCTTAAGTAGGTTAAAACTGCACCAGTAGAATAGATTTTACTCAAAGAAAACTCAACCTAACAGAACTGTCTCTGCTGGACTGGTTGCCCAACTATTTTTGGTGAGAAACTCACACTCCCTTTTCCTAGAACCTAGAACTGTCTTATGGAATGTTCTTCCTGCCTAGAATACAAAGGAAATCTGCCTGCAATGATGAAACACCAAGTCTGCCAGTCCAATCAGGAAGCCTGTGTGTCTGCAGAGGAGGGTGAAATTCCCATCAGGAAGCCTGTGTGTCTGCAGAGGAGGGTGAATTCCCATCAGGAAGCCTGTGTGTCTGCAGAGGAGGGTGAAATTCCAATCAGGAAGCCTGTGTGACTGCAGAGGAGGGTGAATTCCCATCAGGAAGCCTGTGTGTCTGCAGTGAAATTCCCATCAGGAAGCCTGTGTGTCTGCAGAGGAGGGTGAAATTCCCATCAGGAAGCCTGTGTGTCTGCAGAGGAGGGTGAAATTCCAATCAGGAAGCCTGTGTGTCTGCAGAGGAGGGTGAATTCCAATCAGGAAGCCTGTGTGTCTGCAGAGGAGGGTGAAATTCCAATCAGGAAGCCTGTGTGTCTGCAGAGGAGGGTGAAATTCCCATCAGGAAGCCTGTGTGTCTGCAGAGGAGGGTGAAATTCCCATCAGGAAGCCTGTGTGTCTGCAGTGAAATTCCCATCAGGAAGCCTGTGTGTCTGCAGAGGAGGGTGAAATTCCCATCAGGAAGCCTGTGTGTCTGCAGAGGAGGGTGAAATTCCAATCAGGAAGCCTGTGTGTCTGCAGAGGAGGGTGAAATTCCAATCAGGAAGCCCGTGTGTCTGCAGAGGAGGGTGAATTCCCATCAGGAAGCCCGTGTGTCTGCAGAGGAGGGTGAATTCCCATCAGGAAGCCTGTGTGTCTGCAGAGGAGGGTGAAATTCCCATCAGGAAGCCTTTGTGTCTGCAGAGGAGGGTGAATTCCCATCAGGAAGCCCGTGTGTCTGCAGAGGAGGGTGAAATTCCCATCAGGATGCCTGTGTGTCTGCAGAGGAGGGTGAATTCCCATCAGGAAGCCCGTGTGTCTGCAGAGGAGGGTGAATTCCCATCAGGAAGCCTGTGTGTCTGCAGAGGAGGGTGAAATTCCCATCAGGAAGCCTTTGTGTCTGCAGAGGAGGGTGAATTCCCATCAGGAAGCCCGTGTGTCTGCAGAGGAGGGTGAAATTCCCATCAGGATGCCTGTGTGTCTGCAGAGGAGGGTGAAATTCCAATCAGGATGCCTTTGTGTCTGCAGAGGAGGGTGAAATTCCAATCAGGAAGCCTGTGTGTCTGCAGAGGAGGGTGAAATTCCAATCAGGATGCCTTTGTGTCTGCAGAGGAGGGTGAAATTCCAATCAGGAAGCCCGTGTGTCTGCAGAGGAGGGTGAAATTCCAACCAGGATGCCCGTGTGTCTGCAGAGGAGGGTGAAATTCCAATCAGGATGCCCGTGTGTCTGCAGAGGAGGGTGAATTCCCATCAGGAAGCCCGTGTGTCTGCAGAGGAGGGTGAATTCCCATCAGGAAGCCTGTGTGTCTGCAGAGGAGGGTGAAATCCCAATCAGGATGCCTGTGTGTCTGCAGAGGAGGGTGAAATTCCCATCAGGAAGCCTGTGTGCCTGCAGAGGAGGGTGAATTCCCATCAGGAAGCCTGTGTGTCTGCAGAGGAGGGTGAATTCCCATCAGGAAGCCTGTGTGTCTGCAGAGGAGGGTGAAATTCCCATCAGGAAGCCTGTGTGTCTGCAGAGGAGGGTGAAATTCCCATCAGGAAGCCTGTGTGTCTGCAGAGGAGGGTGAAATTCCAATCAGGAAGCCTGTGTGTCTGCAGAGGAGGGTGAAATTCCAATCAGGAAGCCTGTGTGTCTGCAGAGGAGGGTGAAATTCCCATCAGGAAGCCTGTGTGTCTGCAGAGGAGGGTGAAATTCCCATCAGGAAGCCTGTGTGTCTGCAGAGGAGGGTGAATTCCCATCAGGAAGCCTGTGTGTCTGCAGAGGAGGGTGAAATTCCAATCAGGAAGCCTGTGTGTCTGCAGAGGAGGGTGAAATTCCAATCAGGAAGCCTGTGTGCCTGCAGAGGAGGGTGAAATTCCCATCAGGAAGCCTGTGTGTCTGCAGAGGAGGGTGAATTCCCATCAGGAAGCCTGTGTGTCTGTGTGTGCATTCCTGTCCAGGAGAGAGCAGGGTAAAAACAGATTGTGGGTTTGTTTCCTCAAAGAGGAGAGCAGAACATCTTTTACCCACAAATATATCAAGACTAGCTACTCTTAGTTGGAAGGTTTTTGTAGTGTATCTTAAAATATTCATGTGAATATACGCTATGCATAGAAGACCAGGGAGAAGAGCACTCAGCGCCCAGAATGCTCGCCGTGGCCCTTTGCAATGAGCGGTGAGGGTAGCTGGTGGCCCAGGCCAGCCGCCTCTCATCCTTGCTGAGGCCACGAGGGCATGACCATGTGAACGGGCCATTCGTGAAGCCTTTGCCTTCCGAACTGCAACTTTTTCAACCGTTTGTTTGAGAAAACATGTTAAAACCAAAACGCCCTGATTATGATCACAAGACCCACCTGTCGGCTTTCAGGCATTTCTTGGGATTGCAGACGGCGCTGAGCACGGAACTGAAAGCCGGCTGTCTGCCGGTGCTGACTTCCTTCCTGAAGGCTTGAAATGGAAACATGTATTTTTTTCCTGAAAGTCACAGTGGATTTTGCTAGGATTATAAATGTAAAGGTCCTCCATTTAAAAGCCAGTCACGGGTGTGAGAACAAGCCCTATTTGCTTTTAAGAGGATCTCTCAAACTCATCAACCCAGTGACCAGGTCTGCATGGGGGCAGGAAGCGGTCCCCCCAACATTCCTCAAGAGAAAGGGTGGTGCTGAGGCTACTCCTCTTCCGGAATAAAAGGGAATTTTCTTTTTTTTTTCCTTTGCTATTGTTGAGGTATTATTCAAAACATTTTACAACTCTAGCCCAGATGGTAAATACTTCAATTATAGCTGGTGGGATGAGAAAGAGGTGAAATGAGAGGCTTCTTAAAGAATTCGATTCAGTAACGATGGTGAAGTCAGTGTCTCCTTCCGAGAGGGAGGACCCCTGTTTAGAAAGGGTGGCAGGCGGCCTGGGGAACATGCCCAAAGTGTGCCTGCCTGCATGAGCCAGACGGCCCGGCCGCCCGGGGCCCTCCCCTCTCCACTCGGGAGGTTGCCCGGCAACCCCAGGGAAAGCTGCAGATATTCTCGATACAAATGGCATCAACTCTGACACAGTTAAACATTTCGTTCTTCTTATTGCAAAATTTACCACGTTTGCCCAGAGACGGGGGAGCAAGGACAGGAAATCTCCTGAGAGGGGCATCTCATCCCGCAGGCTCGAGCCCGCGGCGTCCTCCTCCTCCTCCATTCACTTGGATTCTCCCAGCCCACGCCCTTCCTCCCCCTCACAGCCGCCATCCTTCTTCCCTCTGGACGGCCCCTCTTAAGCGTGAAGGAGG